AATTACGGCGAACTCCCAGAATACTCGCAACTACGCAACCTAACTTCGACGTGATCAATCTGTTACCGAGAGAAACAAACCTCGTTGATCTTGAGGCATTAAGAGGAAAGAAAAAAAAGAACCAAACCAACAAGGGTCCTCAATTTTGGTTGTGACAGACAAACCCCATACGTTGTTGGGCATCACCTGGCTCAGTGGGAAAGCAGAAATGGGTGGTTTTTTGCGGACTGACCGAGCACTCGGTGGCAGAGCCCCCCCTCAAAGGTACCGGGTCTTGGGCCCCTCCTACCTCCTATCGGCGCTCGGCCAAGTGGAGGGCACACTATGAGAGGTAAGGCATGAGCGATTCTTGATGTCTCATTGGCCAAGATGCCTGTCGGCATGAGGTCATACTCCCTCCCACTGCTTCGTTGTCAACTCGTCCCGCCCTCCTCGCTCCAGCTACCTTACCTACCGCAGTATGTAGAATACTCCAGTGAACCCGTATGCCACTACGAGATCCCCGGGCCCAAGGTCACAGGCACAGGTTGCAGGCGTTGCATGCAGGTAGGCAATGCCAACTGCATCGGAGGCCGCGCACAAACCATGTTCATTCTTCTCGCGAACATGGAGGCGCAGACGTCTTTGCCATCTTTCGAGCAAGTAGCAGGCGCTGCACTGCTTGAAACCCAAGTAGCTGTTGCATACTGGCATAATCATCAGAGAAGACTCCCAAAGTCCCCCAAAGCCACCACCACCACTACCACCACGCATCCATCACTTGCCTTGGACTTAAGTTTTTGGTGCGCAGCGGCATCGGGTTTGTCGCAGGGAGCACCCGTCCTCTCATGCCACTTACGACAACGCTAGCACAAGTCTCCAGGCGCACTAGACAGCCTGCCTGGCCACTCGTCTTACTTTTTTCTCGGTGCCCAGCCAATGTGAGAATGAGCAACTGGAAAATTGGACGACCCAAAAAAGGGCACCCTATTTTCGGTCAGACGTTGAGAAGGGAGGGGGGCTTTACGGCATGTCCAAATGACTCTTTTGCCAGCGGCTTGTGTTGTGTAGATGGGCCATCTTTCGGACGAGAACAAAAGGGTCCCGTTTTGTTCAAAAACAAGTTTCAAAAGTATTTGTTCACGGTAATTCTGCGGGCGAGGTACTTTCGCAGGCCTGTATTGAACATGCCTTGCCTGAGCATTCCCTTCCCTGGTTCCCGCACCCTCCGTTTCTCCTGCCGCTGCCGCTCCAAATGCTGCATCTTTGGAAGCAACGCTGAGTCGTCGACATGTCGCATCCATGTCTTCGGACAGCCCAACCCTGTTCTGCCCTGCCCACTCCAGGCCTAAGGTGGCTGTATCTGACTGGCTTCTCTGCCTGAAGTGACCTCCCCGTCCCTGCCGTCTCTTTCCTTCCATGCCTGACTGCCTCTGCCCTCCCGTCTTGCTGGACCCTTGCCCATCCACTTTCTTCTAGCTAGCCCTGCCCCCCCCCCCCCTGTCTTCGCTCATCATCTCTTCCCCTCCTTCATTTCTTCCCGGGGCTTGTTATCCTTCATCTTTTCACCTTTAACAACTCATAGACATTTCAGCGTCTTCATCGAAAGTTTTTCAAATCTCGCCAGTTGGACCATCTTCTCTGGCGGCACACTCGAATTAAACCCTACAACTGTGTCACTTCACTCATACGACTTACATCACCCCGCTTCAAATCGAAAATTACCCACCGAGCCTGCTTGGCTCTTACGCCCACTCTCGTCAGCCGACATGAGTTACTACGAAGAGCCCCAGCGCACTCGTCGCTATGTGCGCGAGGAGCGTCGTGAGGAGAGAATCGATCCCCGTTATGCCGACGAAGGCTACCTCAAGGTTCACCAAACTCGCGAAATTATTCCTCGGGCCCGAGAGAACAGCGAGCTCTCTATCGAAGAAGTGCGCCGTGACTTCCCCCCTCCTGGCTATAGAGATTCCCGAAGAACTCGCTCAGCAGAACCCGGCTACTACGACGACCCCCGCTATGATGACCGGGACCGATACTACGATCGCGAATATGATCGTCGGAGCCGAAAAGCCGGCAGCCTCGTCTACGCCGAAGAGGAGAGGTCTCGTAAGCGCGTCATCAATCAACAAGAGAAGATCCTCGCCGCTGTTGCCGGTGCGGCTCTGGCCTTTGGCGGCAAGGAGCTTTACGACAGGAAGGAAGCCAAAGAACACCGCGGCGAAGTTGAGAGAAACTACCTGACTTCTGCGGCGTTGGGTGCAGCTGGAGCTCTTGCCGGCTACCAGGGCGCAGAGTACTACGGCAAGCGCAAGGAAAAGGAAGAGGACAAGTCCACCTATGTCATGCATCGCGGCCGTGACGGTCGAGTCACCGAGTACTACTCCGACGAGGAGGGAGACAGGGAGAAAAAGGGTCACAAGTCCTTCTTGGAGAACGCTCTCGCAGCCTCTGGTCTGGGAGTTGCCGTCAAAGCTCTCACAGGCGCCAGTGGTGGCGATGACCGGCGCAGCGACACTAGAAGCCGACGAGGCAGTCCCGACTCGAGATCCTCAAGGTCCAAATCTCGAGGACCCGGAAACGAAGCCGCCAGCAAAATGCAGAAGGCTGCCATGGCTTCCCTCATTGCCGGAGCCACTGAAGCTTTCCGTGTTGCCAAGGAACCCGGCGGCTGGAAGGGCGAGAAGACAAAGCGCATCATCACTGCCGCTGCCGGTGCGGCTACCATCGACGCTGCACAAGGCGGCGAGAAACAGAGCAAGTTGGGCCTGGCCGAATCCGTCATTGGTGGTCTGGTCGGCAACCGGGTCATCAACGGATCCAAGCGCAACATCGAGGAGGACCGCCGAACCGGACGAAGCCGATCGAGGTCGCGCGCTCGCTCTGACGGTGGCGGCGGCGGTCCGGGTTTGGCTGCTCTGGCAACTGCCGGTCTAGGTGCCTTTGGCGCAAAGAAGGCCATCGAGAACGTCCGGTCCCGGAGCCGTGGCCGTAGTGCCGACTCTTATGACAGCCGGGCCTCTAGCCGCGATGGTCGCGATAAACCCCGCGCACGAAGCAGAAGCCGCAGTGTTGTCGACTCTGCACGAAAGAGACTCGCCAAGATTGGCATCGGAAGCAACCCGGAGGAAAAGGAGAGAGAGAAGTACGGCCGAGATGATTACTACGACGACGACCGTAGCTCTCGACGCGGCGGTATGACCCGGAGATACTCTGATGAATACGACGACTACGACAGGGGATCCGCACGTGGTGGACGCGACGCATACGATGATGACAGATCGTCATACACGAGCCGGCGCCGAGACCGCTCTCGTCGCAGGGGAGGAAAGTCGGACACTAGTTCCGAGTCGGATCTTGGAGACTCGGACGATGATGCGAAGCGCGCGAGGAAAATGAGAGGTAAGCAAGTCATCACAACCGGCCTAGCGGCCGTTGCCACCATTCACGCGGCACATGGGGTCTATCAAAGTATGGAGAAACGCAATTCAAGGCAGAAGGCCGTGAGGGAAGGGCGACTCAGCCCAGAAGAGGCGAAAAAGCTCAAAACCAAGGCTCTCGTGCAAGACGCCGCCTCTGTTGGAATCGCTGCCCTCGGTATCAAGGGTGCCTGGTCTGAGCTCAAGGAAGCCAAAGAGATGACACACGAATGCAAGGAATTCCAACACGAGAAGGAAATCCGACATCAGAAACGACTTGAGCGACAGAAGAGGCTCACCGACGGACATGGTGGTCGACGGAGTAGGGCTGACGATTGGTCTCACGCTGGCTCTCCGCGAGGAGAACGGTATGACTACGGTTCAACTTACTACGACGATAACCCGTACTCTGCCGGGCACCTGCCTGCACCTCCTGTTGGTTATGACGACAGGAGATACAGAGACTGAGAAGTCAGGCCGAGAGCACTTCAGTCTTGGACAGTGGGGTGTTTGGTCCTTGTTGGTACTCTTCAGATTCCTCAAGACAACGTCCTTGCTCGCACGGGCTGCTTGTCTCACTCTGCTCTCGACCCCTCAGTTTCTTTTACGACCTATAATGCCTGTATAAGACACTACGACGTTACGACAATTTTCTACAAGTCATCTTTCAGCCGCAATCATATCTATTGTCAAACAAAACCGGGAAAGATGTTGGAAGACTAAGGGGATGTGGGAGTGGCGTTCCACACGTTTCACATCGGCACTCGACGGGCGCCACCTTGCATTGCGTTTACTCAGATAGATGGATTCCCTTTTCCCCTTTTGTTGCCAATCTACACACAATCTTCTCTTGTACACGAACCATAACTGATTCTAATTGGATTGTGACAGACCAACGCCGCCGTTACTAATCGGCCTGCGCCGCCATCAAGAAGAACCAGACGCATCGTTACTGGTCGAGCTGTTGTCTTCGGCCCCTGCGGATGACAGTAGTCCCAAAATGGAGGGCATCGCAGCATGCAGCTCAGACAAAAAATGAGCAAACGATGGATGGAGCCGAGATCGAGGCTGATCGGCAGGGTCTGATTGGAACCAACTGATTTTGTTCGATTCAAGCAATGGAGGGAGAGAAGGAGAGAGGTCTGGCCACCACATGGCCCCGGGCTCGTAGTGGTTGAAGCAGCCAAGCGGACCCCGATGAGAAGGGACCCCTGTTCCTGAGACAGACCGGACATTTTTCGCTAGCGCGCGAATGGACAAGCGGCGGTGAGAGAAGGCGGCTACCATTTGGAAAGATTGGGGAATAGACGGGAAGGGAGGGGTGGCATATGCGGGATGATGATATGCGACGGAAAAGACGGCTACATGGGTTTTAGTACTCGGGCCAGAGCACAAGATCATCATCGTCGAGACACCGCGATGCACTCGCTGCCCCTCCCCTTCCTCCCAGCAACCACTGTCACACGATATCTTCTGGTCTCTTGGTTTCACAGTTTCCTACTTAGATGGGAGGATGGGCATTTTGTTTTTATGATACTTGACTGGATATGTAGTTTCCGATTTTATGAGTATGAGACATGATGACCTCTGCGACCTGACGTTTTCACCCAACTCGTCTTTTCTTGACTATGGCTGGGCACCCTTTGGTGACTGAAAACTGACGCTTTGTGTGAATATGTGATACACAACAGAAGATCCCCCGGCAGAAGCGGTCGGGTCCGAAACAACCCATGCCTCTTCCCCCTCTTACCATGTCTCCGGCAGTGCCCAGAGCCAAGAGCTGCAGCCACCCCGCGAGTAATACCCTGCTCTCTATTCCGTACTGGGTGAGTACCTACATCTTTTGGGCTGCTGCTTCCTCTTCGCTTTCCTCTAGCATATCTATCGGAACAGCAAAACAAGTGGGAGGGAAGATGTTCTAGACTGTTCCCCTCCCCACTCTACCGTCCTATCATTGTCATGTCTGCTGATATTCTGACAGCAGCTCTGCCAACTTTTTTTATGCTCTTTTGGACTGTTCTGATCTGCCATTTCTCTGCTTCGGTCTCGGTCAAGTTTGTGGGAGGAATGCATCATGCGGACAAGAGATGGGGTGTGGGGGGACACATGGGCAGATATCGGCACCGTCTGTCGGCTGATGTTCTGCTGTTCTGTCGTTCAGTTCAGCCTGTTCTAACTTCTTGGAAGGGGAAAGAAAGGCAAGGTAATGGGAAATTCGATTCGATCCGATCCAGCCCAGTCAGTGTACCAACGGTTAGCTTTCCTGCCCCCGTCAATCAGTGTCAAACTGCCGTGGGCAATAATAGTGACTCGTGCCTACACTACCTTACCCTACACTCCCATTAGCACGGATAGCGTGCGTTGGTTGCTTGACGGCATCGGAAGATGTCGTGTGGTGTCGTGGAAAAGGATGGCGGCGGGGTGACAGGCGGCTGAGCAATCAAGAGGGAAAATGACATCATTGTACATCCGCCGCATTTTTCTTTCCTAGATCCCCCCCCCCCCTCCCATCTGCCCCCTCCCTCCCTCACGGCCTCGTGCCTGCAGTCGCTATTGGTGAAGACATCGTCAGTCATATGACTGGTCTGACATGTTCTATCCGCCCGCCATCGCGATGATGGGCAAGTCCTAAGGTGCCCGTAGTCTAGACCACTGATTTTGCACCAACTACTAGGTCATCTGTGCTTATTGGTCGGGGGCTCGTTGGGTTGTGTGCGAAACTTGTACGTTGCGTGTCTGGGCCAGGAATAGGTAGGTAGACCTGAAGTCTGAAGGAGGAGAAGAGAGAAAGAGAGTCTCGACTCTCGCGTGGAATAAGGTTCGCCGGCCCACCCATCCGGCGGGAGCTCCAGATGACTGGTTACCGGGGATGCCCATGGCGAGACAAGAGTAATCTGGATGAGATGAGACACACGCAATTTGGTCCGAACTCTCTTTTTTGATGCTGGGTAGGGCAACTCAAATTTGATTGAAGTCTTGTTTTTGGGTGCAATGGAGGTTGCTAAAGAGCATAGAGTTACAAAAAATAACAAACAACGTCCTCTCTTCTGGCGGACGATTCTTATGCCGCAGCATCTCCTCCCTGCTGCTTCCAGGCCTGCGCCATGGCCAACAGATTCGACAGGTTCTGCGTCTGCTTGTCGTCGGCGGGGAAGACGTAGTCGATGTACTCCTCGAAGCTGTCGTCCTCCAAGCGCCTTCTGCGCTTCGTCTTGCGCGGCATCAGCTTCTGCACATTCTCAATCTCGTCATCCCCACCGTGTATCCTCTCAAACGACAACCACGCGTTGAGCAGCGTGACCGTCTCCTCCTTGAGCTCCTTGTCGCGCATGCTCTTGTGCGCGCGCTCAAAGACCTTGCGTGCCCTCGTCTTGGCTTCCTTGCTGATCGGCGCCTCCTCTTCTGCTTCTTCCTCGTCCTCGGGTATGTTGAGCTCAAAGTGGGCGTAGCTGATCCACACCTTGACGTGATCCGTCTTCTCAAGAAGGCGCTCGTAGAGTTCTCTCGTACGCTCGTACTCTTCCTCCTCTTCCTCGAAATCGATGTAGGCCTTCCATAGCAACTCAGGCATATCGAGAACCGGCTGGCTTACGGCCAGCTCGAAGATGGCCCGGGTCCGCTCCAAGTCGTCAAGGCCACGCTCGAGCTCGGCGAACTTGATCCAAGTCTGGCAGTTGGAGGCGTTCCACTCAATGTGCTTCTCGTAGAGTGTCCGGCATCGCAGAAATTCAAAGAGCTTCAGTTCCAGCTCAATGTAGCCCCTGAACAGCTTGTCCTTCGGGCACATGCCGATCGCCTGGCCCAGGGTCTTACGAGCCGCCGTCAGCTCACCCTGCCGAATCTCGAATTGCGCCTTTAGCAGCCAGACCTTGGCAAAGGTGAATTTCTTGTGGGGTATCATTTCCAGGCAAACCTTGTAGATTTGCCTTGCGCGCTCCATGTCCTTTGCCTGCAACTCCTCAAAGATGGCGTAGTTGATCCAGAGGTAAATGTACCGTCTCCAGAACCTCTTCTCTTGCGCTGGTGGTACTTGCGATACTGCCCTCTCGTAGATGTCGCGGACCCTGTCGAGATCGCCAGCCGTCTCTTCCAAACGTGTGTAGTCGAACCATGTATCGTAGTTCTTCGGGTTCTCCTTGACTTGTGCTTCGTAGAAAACACGGCGTTTTGAAAGTACGACATCCTCGACGCCATCCTTGTCTCCGAACTGCTTCTCAAAGGTCGTGTAAGCCTTGTGAAGGATCATTGATTTAGAGCGAGGAAGGCGATCCAGTGCGTACTTGAAGATCGCCCTCGCTCTTTCGTACTCCTTCAACTTCGCCTCGTATCGCGCATAAGCAATAAAGAGCTTCTCGTCCACAAATTCGTCGCCGAGCTCTTCGATCGCAGTCCCAAATACATCGCGCACCATGTCGCTCGTGCCGAATTCCTCCTCAAATTTTGCCCACTTGATCCAGTTCCGAGGTTCCGGATGGACGAGTGTGAATGCTCTGAAGATATCTCTTGCTCGGTCGAACTCATTGTATCTCTTTTCCAGCTTGATGTATGCGCTCCAAGCAGCTTCATCAGGTTGCCATTGCATCCAACGGTCAAAGACTTGGCGGGTTCCTGGAACGTTGCCCAGCATCTCCTCCATGTACACATACTTGTACCAAAGTTTATCGACACGAGGTAGTCGTGTGACGGCCCTGTCGAGGAGATTTCGCGCATGGTTGATGTTTCGGCATTTCACTGTGAGAAAGTCAGCCGTCTGTCTCGTCATAGGGTGTTGCGGAGGGATTCCATACTCTCCGACTCGATATATCTGATCCACAACTTGATCTCGTTGGGGTGCACATCGAGCGCGCGCTCGAAGATTGATCTTGCGCGCGCAAATTCCTTCTGCTCAAGCTCCCAGTCGGCATATCGCATCCAATTATTGAGGTTGACTCTATTGCGTCGAACATAGTCTTCGAACTCTCGTCGTTTCCGGCCCTGGAATTCGTGAAGCTCCTCTAAATCGGCGAACCGTTGGGTAGGCGCCTGTAGCGCGACCTCCTGCCGGTCAACAGCCTCTCGTAGGAGTTGCTCGGCAGAAATCTGAACAGGCGCAGCGGCCTTGTTCTTAACCTTCGGGGGTCCTCGTGATGCCTCCATGGTGTCTGTCAAGCAAAGTCGAAGTCGATTAAAGTCGGAGAAACGCGCGAAGTCGCGTATTATTAGCGTCGCTAGACCTTATGGTAGAGAAACTCGGCTTTGTATGGGTACGGCACGTTGAATCGCGTCACCTTGTTGCCCAATTGATAATATTCTGCATCGGTCGCAAACACCGAAGACGGGACTCTCAGGCGGCAGGCCCAAGGCTGAAGCGTTGGAAAAACGCAGCTCTTATCGGCACCAGCCACTCCGATAACGAGCTTCTGTGGCTTAGACCCACCCATCGCGCCAAAACTTCCGTAGCCTCGCGAGGCTTCCATAACTTTATATCCTCCTAACTTTACAACTTCGTCACGCCGCGTTTCTTTCCTGGGCGATTTTACCATCCAAAAGCCACTTTGGTAGCTGTGACTGGCAATATGGCGACCCTAGCAGATGAATTGCTGAACGATTTCGAGGACTCTGGCTCAGAAGCAGAGGAGACTCAGCAAGACAATGATCCCCTAGGACTTGATCATGCGCCCGAGGCGAGCGGTCGCAAAGCATCGGGCGGCATGGATCTGGACGATGACCAGAGCGAGCCCGAGGACCAAGATGAGGAAATGGGTGGGACACCCAAGGGTGCTGTCGACCCTGTCGAAGATGCAGAGGATACAAAGGCAAAGGTCGAGAAGATGCAGCTGGGTGGCGTCAACGATGTTCGCAGCGTCGCCAGTCTCATGTCAAGTTTGGAGCCAGTACTAGAGGTAAGTGACGCACCCGAAGACACGAATAGCTTGATGGAAGCTGTGTTTACATCATCTCTTGGGAGAACTAGCCCTAACGTCGTCACTCGAACGCTACAGAAAATCGCACACTACCAGTCGCAACCGACCCCTACAGAACTGCTCGGCAACATCGAAGACCATCCCGAATACCACCTCCTGACACAATCGAACAGCCTGTCGACTCTTATAGACAGCGAGATCGTCTTGGTGCACAAGTATATCAGAGACCACTACTCAATACGGTTCCCAGAATTGGAGACGCTCATCACCAACCCGCTGGAGTATGCGAAGGTCGTCGCGATCTTGGGCAATGGACCGCTTGATTCGGAGAATATCAAGAAGCTTCAGCATTCAACGGACAATGTCCTTCAAGCGTCCTTGAAATCCGTCCTCGACGGTCCATCCCTCATGATCGTAACAGTGGAGGCTACGACGACGAAGGGCAGAGACATGTCGCAAGAAGAACTGGAACGCGTATATAGAGCCTGTGAAATGGTCATCTCCCTCGATAAGGCGAAGAAGACCCTGACAGGCTATGTCCAGTCGCGCATGAACCTGTTCGCGCCTAATTTGACTGCTATGATCGGTTCTCTGACGGCTGCTCAATTGTTGAACGCCGCCGGTGGCCTTACTGGTCTATCGAAGACACCCGCGTGTAACATTGCAGCGTGGGGTTCGAAGAAAGGTGCTGGGGCCGCGGGCTTGGCTACGAATATCGGCGTCAGGCAGCAGGGTTTCCTTTACCACTCACCCATCATCCAAGGCATTCCCAACGATCTCAAGAGACAGGCAATGCGCATCGTGTCGGCCAAGCTGCTGCTCGCTGCTCGCGTCGACAGAATCCACTCCAGCGCCGACGGCTCGACGGGCGAGGATCTAAAGGAGCAGTGCCTCACGAGACTCGAGAAGCTCACGGAGCCGCCTCCAAACAAGGGCCCCAGAGCTTTGCCGGTACCAGACGACAAGCCTTCCCGCAAGCGTGGTGGTAGAAGGGCAAGGAAGGCCAAGGAGGCGACGGCCATGACGGAATTGCGCAAAGCTCAGAACAGAATGGCCTTTGGCAAGGAGGAGCGCGAGGTCGGATACGGCACAGGGGAGACCACAGTTGGCATGGGTATGATCGGGCAGGGTAACGACGGCAGAATTCGCAACCTCCAAGTCGATCAACGCACGAGGGCCAAGCTCGGCCAGAAGAACAAGGGCTGGGGCGGCGCAACGCCCATGGGCGGAGCGGCATCCTCGCTCAAGGGTTTTGGACAATCAGCAAACTCCAACATTGACCTACGCGGCAAGGGCCTGAGGACGTCAGGTGTTGGCACATCGCTGGGCGCGGGAGCGGGCACGGCATCCTCGCTGGCCTTCACGCCTGTACAGGGTCTGGAGCTTGTCGACCCCAAGGTCCAGGCTGAACTCAGTCGCAAGCGAAAGGCTGAAGAGGACCGGTGGTTCAAGGGTGGCACTTTCACTCAGGTTGCGGGCTCGTCCAATGATGGCTTCAAGAAGCCAGACTTGCCTCCCAGTAAGAGGGTTGATACCGGCGCCGGCAAGATGGGACCTCCACCTCCGAGGAGCGGCTGAGTGAGCCCGCCTAGCCGACGTGATCGTGGCGAGAGAGAGAAGGATGTTCACGGTGTCAAGCAGGGATTCAAGAGTTTGGGAGAAGAAAGTCTACAAAGCATATCTCTTACCCGAAAAGCTAGCCCCGGCAGACGGAAGGGAAAAATGAGGGGGGGAGGGGTGGTTGTTTCCAGGTTGTCAAACGGGTTCCGCGGCTGAGCAAAGACGAAGTAGGTGATCACTCGGCCGGCGGGAAACGGCGTGCGGCGTTTTGGGGAGGTTTTCCATTATTCGAGTCATCGAATCAGTATCAGTAGCAGCATACCATTTAGACATTCCAGGGCGGGACATGGGAAACGAGACGAAATGTTTACCATTGCTCAACTTTGGGATGCCGTTCTTCTGTACATGTACAAAAGGGGGAAAGGAGGGGCCAAAGACGGTCCAGGTGTATGTTTGTCCGTTCCTCACCACGAAGCAAAGCCCACGATTGCCGGCGCATTGCCGTTTCTACATTTCGTCGGCAGTTCTTCATCTCGGCTCCTCTGTGTGTGTGTGTGCGCATGTGCGCTCGCGTGTGGTATGTGAAGAAAAAGAAGACTTGAGACGATGAGAACAAGATGTAGATTGGAATTCGCATGTCATGTATGTAATAGCCCAACGGCTGTGTCGATCAAACGTCTTTTTTTGGTCCCAATTCTCTCTTCAGTAAGGGATCCGTGTAAACTCCCCGTCGTCTCCCCGTGTGCTATATCCCCTTTACCAAAACGCCAACGTTTTGTTCGTTTTTTGTACCTGTAATTCTTCTATTTTACCTTCCCGTCGCAAAAAAAGCATGATTTCGTAGAAACGTCTTTGCGGTTCATGCCAAAAGAAATTCTCTTGAAACACGTTTACTCTGGGGGCCTCACCCGCCCAATCTTCACGACCCTCTGGGTCAAAGGGGGAACGAACCGTCGATCGTCATCCGTGCCTTTGAAAGGTAACGAACGTGCTTGGGCAGCGTGGCAGCGTGGCAGCGTTTGTTGGGCGAGCAACGCCGCATCGCAACACAACGACTTGCGACTTGGGTAGAAACGCTCGTCCCTTTCTTCGAGAACCTCGCAGAAGTACAGACTGATATTGGAGGGATGGAAACAATTAGGTACGAAAAAAAAAAAAACAATGGAAAAAAGAACACGAGGGAAAAGCCGTCGGCAGGTCGAGAGTCTAATTAGACAAGAAGAGGGCCGTGATGGCCTTCTTTTGCCCTTTTGGCCATGCCTGATGGGGTCTGGGCTCACCCAAGGGAAGAACGTTTCCTCTTTGCACACACACATCGTCCTCTTTCCACACGTCTTGATGTTGGGCTCATCCCCGTCACCCACCTATCAAGAGCATGCCGCTTTCTGCCGCGCGAAATCTCTGAGAAACAAGACTTTTGCCCAAGGTTTAGCTATTGTTGGGTAGGTTCTGCATTGAAGACCTCGCTTACCCTCTTTCTTTGGCTCCAAGCTCCCCGAGTGTTCCCCTTTCCCCTCACACACCCCACCGTTTTCGCGAAAGCTTCAATTTGGAGTAGGGCCGCGACAGGCTCGAACGGGGCCACGAGGCGACGATGCCCATGAAATTGCGAACAGACGGGATGCATCGTCAAGGGAATGAGGAAAAGCTCTTTGGGGACTACCATACACAGGATGAAGCCCGCCCATCATCCGTGCCATACCTACCTACACTGACGAGAGGTAGGGCCACCAGCTCACGCGACCACGCCGCGCAAATATTGAACGCCCGAACCTGTCGTCGTTGCGAGGCTTTCCAGACTTCGACTGGACCAGGAATTTCCGGGGTATCCCGCTATGAAACGCCGGGATTGGGAACCTCGAGCCTACGCTTTCCCTGCCCTCACGTCCCCCAATTGTGGCGTGAGTTTGTTGTATGTGTAAGTTTTCTCTGTAACTCTTTGGCTTTCTCTCGTCAAAGGTTCTATACTGGACCCCGAGGATCCCGGAGTCGATTCCGACGGGCGAACAGTGATCACGCCAGGCACAGATCGACGGTTGACGATAGAGTTCGAAGCAACGTTGACATGAGCATTGCTTGACGGAAGCTCTGTGGGTTTGTAACCGTACATTCCCGCAAATCACGCATTTTTTTCGGCATGCCAATTGTTGTCCTCTTCTCGGGAAGTCGACTCCATTCTTCTACCAAGTCCGTAGGAAGTTGTCATTGTTCTGAGCTCATTGGCGCAACGAGTGCAGATCTCAATTGGGGGGTGTTGCAAACTTGCAATGGGCTGAGCAATGCGCCTTTCGTGCCTGGAATAATGGGCACATGTTTCGGTTCGCTGTGGCCCCCGTTGGCCCAGCAAAGTAATAAAAGTTGCACCTTACCGTATCTGTACGGAGTACACCGTAGGGTCCGTCGGGAATATCGTCCGCGGCCGGAAGACAAGCGGGGCCGGTAACGTATGCCCTCTGCCACAATGACGTACCGCTTACCATGACACGAGGATTGCCAAAGCCGGAGTTAGGTCCCTGAAAAAAATCTATGGCTTGTTACCCTTAGTATAAGTGGGGAGTCAGAATGCAAGCTGCAGCCTGCACTCTCTAGTCCGCACAGCAAACCATGATCGATAGAGGCCCAGAGGGAGGGGGCGCTCCCACATGGACAGAGTCCCCGCCCCGGTGAGCTTTGCGAGGTCCTGGAGTTTTCTGTATCTGTATCCGTACCCGCATCGTTCGCAAGGGTCTGAGGGAAGGGGAGGGGTTGGACCGGACAAGAGAAGAAGAGGGGGAAAAGGGACCAAAGCCCTTCACCCTCGTATGTTTGGAAGCACCCATCTGAAAAGCAGCAGACAGGCACCCTGTTGGTAATCTCTTGCCGACTGTGGCTTGTCTCATCACCTTCTCTGGCAACATGGACGTCTTCTCTTGCATCAGCACATCAGCATGGACCCGAAATCCCATGGTCTGGCAGTTCGCTTTGATGGCACCTCCGAAATTTGACTTTGTGGCTGCAGCTGGACCCCATGTTAGTAGGACGGTCCAGAACTTCAGGGACCAGAGGATCATCCTGATAAACACAGGGAAGCCCCCAGTAGCAGACAGCTTTTCCCCCAGCAGACCTCAGGCAACAAGGGACCAAGTGCCCGAGGAGGCAGGCCTGGCAGTACGTACCGAAGATACATGATCTTACGCAATGCGGATAAGTACCTACCTTAGGTAGCCACTGACCAGGGTCAGCAATTTCATTCCCCCGATAAAAGAAAAGAAAATTGCCAGACAGCGTTCCGTTGACTGACTGAATGGAATCAAACCTAATCGTCCAAGGGTCCGTTATCTTTGATCTCGTGTCTTATCGACCGCTCGGAGAGTTCCCTAAGTGACCTTTGGGTCCACGGGTTTTTCCTTGACAGTTTGGTGGAGGGCTGAAGACTGGGCGGCGAGCCAATGTTCCGAGCTCAGGATTTCGTCGTTCAAGTGGGGCGACGACACTTGACTGCGAATCGAGCCTCCGAGTGTGAAAAAAAAAAATAAAAAAGGAAAAAAGAAGTAAGAAACCGAAAGACAAGGCCACTCGCAAGGGCCCACTTGCCAATGCCCCCGTCTTCGGGGAAGACGTAGGGATGAAAACTCAATGACGTGAGGGTGATGTTGGGTTATATTGGTCCCAAGCCGGATTGCGGGGAGGCACCCTTCTTCCCCGACCAACTGGACCCGGCTACAGCGTTAAGGGACGACGCTACAACGCCATCTGGTTGGACGGGTTGAAGACAAGGTGGAGAAACAAGTAGACTCGAAACGAAGGCAGAAAACGGAGAGAAACGTGCATTTGCCGAATTGAAGCCGGCCCGGAGACTGAGAGCACGCTTTGTTAGAGGTCCCGAAGGAGAGCAGCCCACACAGCGTTTTCAGGACAAGTCGAAACAGGACGCTGAATCGTTGACCGCGATCCAGTTGAAGGAAGAAACTGATGGCATACTCGGCCACTGAAGCAACAACGAAGGCGAAGAGGAAATTGAGACAATCATTGCCCAGTACAACGTGTCAGCTGGCATTTGCAATCAGTCAATACCCAATGCGAGTTACACAAGGACACCGCGCAACCGTGATCGTAGGGGTTGCGCGTAAGGAGGCAACGAACCTGTTTTTTTCTGCGCCTGTGCTGTATCTGAGTTGTAATTCGTACGTCTGTCTGTATATGCTTAACCCAAAGGACAGTCAACTGTCAGGGTGCAGGCATGAGCGCGCAGGGCAAGCCTGATACGGTTCTTCTGCCACTCTCTGTCTGTCTGGTTGGTCTGTCAGCAAGGCACACAGCAAGGTGCGCAAAGCTGTTTAGATGCATAAAATACATGGAGCTACCTTACCTTAGGTAATGAAGCTCCATCCCACGGTGGGCAGAGGTGCCGCTTTCGCAGTTTGCCGGTGGAGTGGAATAGGATTGTGGACTCGTCTAGGCCTTGCCAAGGGGCACCCAATGTATCCGCCCGGCACCACGGCGTGGTTGAAACCAGGGTAGGGTAGCTGCGCCAGATGCGTTGGAAGGCTGTGGTCTACCATGTCCCTGTGGTATTTCTGGCACGAGTGGAGCTGCCGCGACTGCACGAAAGAGAGAGAGAGTGAGGGGCGGCAAGAGAGTTTTCGTCCTCGGGGATCAGATGTGTTGCGAGAGACCCATATATCCGGACCTACGTCACTCTGGCGGTTGAAGGACTGCAAAGGACCCGCCGAGAGTGATGGACATGGAGCATGGAGCATGGAGCATGGACCGTGGACCTGAGAGCTGCTCAGTAACCATATTTTGATCTTCAGAAATGGGCGGTAATGTTGGCGATCGTGCTGGCTCGAGGAATGAATGAAGCAATGCATTGAGGCGGAATGCCTGTATCAGCCGTCCTTTCTTTGCGCCTCATATTCGATTGGTGTCGAAAGAACCGTTGCCCTGTGTACGCCTCAGCGCTCCAGCTCTCGAGATGACTGTCTGCAGCAAATAGGCGCAAACTCGTGTCTGTGTTCGTAGAATGACCGACCTGAGAGTATGTGCTATGTTTTCATTCGCATGCATTAAATGGTGCAAATGCAGAGGCATACCGTACCGGAGCAGGCACTCCGGAACGTGTGTGCCTGTCAATCGGGATCGGTGATCGGTGATCAGTTGTGATCAGGCGGAATATTCTGCGGCTGGTGCGACGTTATCTTCAGGGTCTGAATGGTGCATTAGTTGGGTTGGGCTCCGTTAAGAGTAAGACTAACAGCGAGGGACCTTGGTTCGGTACTCTAGGGGTCGCGATCGTCGATCTGGTGTGTATACATAGAGCTGAGGATGGAGGTGGGGAGAGGAGGAAGAGGACGGTCAAGAGTGCGCGCGCACACACCGCACACCGCACGCCTACGCAGTAGGTAGCGTCCACAAACGTTCTCCAAGGGAATTGGACGGGAAAGTAAAACGGGGCGCAGGTTTGCGGGGCTGTCGGGTTGGACTTGCACCCTTAAAAGCGCAATGTGCGAACTACGAAGTATCCGGCCACGCAGAAAGGGTCGCGGTATCCGTATCCGTACTAGCCAAAGAGGTACCGCTTGATTTTGCTTACATGACATAGGAACGAAGGTACCTTACCTTACAGTAGGAACGCGCTCGAAGGACGCGACAGAATCCAGTCCGAACGGTACCTTATCTGGATCGCCGTAAGATATCATCCGCACCGGGTTCAATTGCGAGGCAAAGAAATCATCACTTACGGGGAAGGAGACTTGAAGTGAAAGTGGGATCCCAGTAGGCTCGTGGAAGCGCACAAAGCGGCGGGAACAAACCCTTCTTCAACATTAACATAACCACTCCATCGCATTCGCAGGAGACTGAGGCAATGGAGGTGAGGGATAGAGGGGATGTTCACGCCGGTGGGCAAATAAGCAGGGCAGGCGCATGATTGACGGCAAACGGACTGGTATGGGTTCCGTGTCTGCATTGGTTGAACGGCGCTGTCCGACGGATCAGCTAAGACCCTGGAGATCGGAAAATACCAAATGATGCACCATGCCACCACGCCTACTTCAGTCATCGTCAATGAGGGACAAGTCACCACCACATGGAATTGTACATGTGTGGCACCCTTGTTCGTTCTCCGGTGATTGCGCCACAGAGACGTGGAGCATTGGAGAAGTGACGGGACGGGGGAAGCGAGGCACACGAAAAAGGATGTGAGGAGAAGAGGAGGAGCGTATTTGACTGGATAGTTGTATATATGTACTTAGACAGTCTACAGAAAGGAATCTAGAGGGGCACAGAACGTGGAAGACAGATACATGATAAGGTACGGAGGACCTTCCAAGCGGATATTAGGATCAGAGCCAAAATGGGGTAAGGAACCTCAAGGGCAGGAACTCTGGGGCACCATTCCGGATGTCGCAAAGCAGGGAAGAGGGGTGATGCAGGATGACTTCTACAGCCACCCCCTTCTCTTCCCACTGGGTACTTCCTGATCAACCTATCTTGCTATGATTCCCAAGTATCGGTTTTGAAGGGCGTGAAGACGGGAGGTCGGGAGCAGGGGTCATTTAGCAATGGCAGTTCAGAAGCACAGAGTCGAGGGGTCCAGCAGGCGACACAAGTTACAATACACCAACATCAATCAGGTGCTAGGAACCTTCCATGTTGGCGGGGCCGCACCAGCCCGCCAGCCCGCCCAGCCCGTTTTGAGCACAATGGGGCCTAGACGCTTTTTTAAACCCCGATTCACTGCCATTCTTGAGATCTCGAGGTTCACTGGTGAGAGCAGTCAGCCGTAGGACCCTTCAAACTCTGTGACGCCGCAAAGGAGAGGGACAAGAAAAAAAAAACTTGCTTTGCCCAACCCGCCGACTCGTTCCTTGGAATGGCGAAGCACTAGCGCCGCCGCCTTTGGGGCCACACGTCCCCGAAACCCCATCTCCTCCCATGGCAATCGCGATCTGTTTGTTATATGGCGATTACCATGGCATTGCACTTGCAGTTGCAGACTCTGCTGGACCGATGAGACTGGCCACTTCATCTCCCAGCACCAGAACGCCCCTAGGGTCCTCCTCGTCCCTGATTTCTCGCCCTGCGTCGTGTGCCTTCGCCTCGCGTAGCCCCGATGCTCTGGAGCTTCCCCTCCGGGGCCCCCAAACTTGTCATGTCTATTGTGTAGGTGTCTTGTCTCTCAGTGTTGAGGTATGCACATAAGTTGGACTAGAGTACCTTTGTAGCCGCGGCTCGAAGATGCCTCACCGGTCTTGAGCTACCTTAAAAGCAACTCTGGGCGGTACGTATCTGACAGCATCCGTCCCACCCATCTTAGGTAAGCGATCTTGTCTTCTTTGGTGCTGGCTCCCAGGTCTGCCCAATCCTACGGCATACCTTAGTCCTGAACGGCAGGTGTGTACGGTCCACGTTCCATGAGTTCGTCCACCGGTGGTGCCATTCGGGGCATTACACCTCTGCCCACAGCACGGTACCTGGCTGCGACTACCTATCCGTACGGGAAGCCACCGTTCCCAGTCTCTGGACGTGCACCACACCGCCTGCGAGGGCTCCGTCTGCCGAGTGTCCAGCCATACAGATGTCGACCGGAGAAAACTCCGCTACCATGCTAAACTGCTAAAATCAGGACAGCCAGAGGCCGACAGCGCTTCTGGCATTGCGCACCATCTGGTTCTGACAAACCGCCAAATACAAATCATCACTCAAAGGCTGGCCGATGTATCAGCATACCTCTTTCCATTCAATTGATGGTGATTATCGCAGCGATCGTTCCACCTCTCACCTGTTACATTACGGCAGGGTCACTTACTCGTGGACTTACAGATAAACATGGGCCCCGTCTGCAGCGAGCCACTATCACACAGTCGCGAAAACGACCAGACCACCAGGCCTGGGCCTGGGCCCACGGGGACAGTGCTGTCACGTCACAGCAGAGAGGAGACGGACTGAGGAAGCAGTGTCGAGCTTCATTGAAACAAAGATTGCCCCCTTTTCGCGTCTTCTGACATCACGAACAATGATCAACGAACACCTCTAAGCGAGCAGATGGTGGCGATGGAAAACGTTGGAGACTCGAAAAGATTTCGCAACAAATCTCGGACATGGACGATTGCGAAAGCATGCATTTGTGAAGGAATGCTATCCCGCTGTCCTCGGATTCAGGTTTTCAGCAAGTCAAAATAGAAGATCAGCCCCCTGCTATGCGGAGACAAACCTAGGCATACGAGTAACTTTGCAAGGTTAAAAGTCTCTGATTCGAGATCTTCGTAGGTTATCTGGTGAGTGATGTGTCTTGTTTCCGCCACTCGGGTGATCATGAAGACCGTCATCTATCCATACCTCGTGTGCTTGGCTTTGGAGTTTCCAGACGGCGCGACGATGCATGACAAGCAGCGGGAGAACCTAAGGGGGGGCCTCGACGGCATTAAGACGGTACTGCCCAAAACAACCAGGTGGACGGGAATCATTCATGTACTACCAAAACAGTAAGGCGCTTCATGTCACCCTGGTCTAACACTTAGTGATCCTCACCCGTCTGCCTAAACCTTGCTGGGCAGGCTGGGGAAGCAATTGCAAGCAAATGCGCTCGCCGCTGCTAATCCGTAAAGATTGAGCTGTTCACTACCTCAGAGGTGCGCGCCAATCATTATCGATAGACGGGGACACTCCGAGTTCCGCTTACCCCCCCAAAACCGTATAGCTTGGTTCCCCATTAGCGCCCCGACCCCAACACTCCAGAACGTTTGCCAACCGAATTCAGTCTTCCGGTACGGATGCTGTGCTTTTCAAGCTGTCACGAGCCACAGAGGGAGATCTCGATCGTGGACGATTGTTGCCCTTCTCAGCCTGGCAAGTGGACAAGCATAAGCAAGCTAGAAGACCCTTCGACGCCACATCACTACCCGTTTCCCACTTGATCGGGAGGCTCATCCGTTCCATTGGCACTCGCTGATAGGCCGTTTCTGACCCTTCTTGCCCCTTCTTGCTTTTCTTTTCCGGCTTCCTTTCTCCATAGCATGTACCGTTTCTGGCACAGCACCCTTCCCCTCCCAAAACCGAGATCAATCCCTGAATTACCAGAACCCTCGAACCACATTGTCAACTCCTCTTGAGTCTTGTCGTCTCTCTCACACTGGGAACCACGAGGGCTTGCTGTATGTATGTGGCGCTATCATTCAAAGATATTGCTGCCACTTAATTTGCTTGTTCTTCGGAAATTCGCTCCCGGAACTCAGTTGAGCTTCTTGCTGATATCGTCAGTTGAGCCACACATCCCGCAAGTTGGACTCGGACTTAATGCTCACAGCATGAGACCAGGCCGCCGGGCAAAACCCCAAGCTCTAGTTGGCAACTAGCCTATGACCCGGGCTCGTATGTAAACTGGAGATTGCAAAGGGACTTCTGGAAGGGCACTCCGGCTGCGATTTGATGACGGTTCAATTATCCAAAGATGCGGCAGCCGTTACAGCATCCTTGCCCACAGCCCCAGCGTGACAACTCGTCCAGTTTCCCTTTCAAGCACGCGAGCCTTGACATTTGTATTGGGTTCAGATTCAGCGATTCGTCCGGAAGTCAAGTACCTACTTTGCGCTACGTGCCTCTCCCAGATGACCACCGTTGCTATGCACAACAGTGCCCATGGTAGGTGTCGTCCTCTCGCCAAGTTAATCGCATAGACGATGGTTGTTAAAGCATTGATAAAACGGCTTTAGACTTCTCTTCACGGTCAACAAGTCGGGTTGCGGAAGGCTCGGGAAGCAACTGAGTTGACTTCAGGACACTTCAAAGCGCTTCATCTGCTGTCGGCAGCAGTAGGTATCACGGTCAATCTCTGTTCTCTGTTGAAACGAGACTCAAATTTTCTCTCGCAACCTGAGGACGAACGTTGCGAAACAAAAAATTCGTGTGTCGCGTGGAATTGACTTGACGCTCGGTCGAGGGGGTTCAGCCTAGAGCTGCAAGTATGTACAATGTTGCCCTGTCGCACTCTTTTGGTACCTTTGGTCGGAATGCGCGCCTACACAGTACAAGTACCGTAATGAGCTTGACATAGCTATGACGACATGGGAAGGAGGAAATTTCCCTCCCCCAAAGAACGTACCGAGGGGGCCCTGCAGAGCGTAAAGGTACCTACATGGGGACTACGTCGGACGAGGGGGGGAGGGGGGTAAAGGGGCGTGTA